AGCTAGGCTTCTTAGGTCTATTATATTACCTTTTAGCTACTATATATTATACTATTTATATACTTCTTCTTATCTACTCTAATTATAATTCTTATACTTAACCTTAATATTACTTCTTATAAAGCCTTATATTCCTAGCTTATTATAATACTACTACTACACTACTAGTAGTAGCTAGATACTATATACTTATAGTTAATAGTTTATAATTATCTTGTTTATAATAATATCTATAAGTAAATTTAAGTTAAAACTACTTTATAGTAAAAGTTTTATAGCTCTTTAAGCACTAATAGTATAAGCTCTATGTTATGACTTAACAAGTATAACATAACCAGGGTTACCTTATAGGCGCCTAGTAGTTACAAGACAAGGTTATATACAGGATAGCACGGGAACACGTTAATCCCTCTCTCAGAACAGAAGAACTAAGGAAAGTTACGTAAAGATAAGAAGGACTAACAACAGATAAGCGGTCTATAACCCAGGACTAATATACAAAGGATTAGTCCTTATTAAAGACTAACTTTAAAAGAATAGTCTTAATAAGGTAATAATAGGATATAAAGATAATTACTTTAAACTAGATTAAATACCTTTTATAGCTCTTTAGTAATCAACTTTATAATTTATTTTTTTATAAGTAACTTTTAGATTATTCTTTTATTATAAAGCTATAAAGCTATTTATACTTAGATATATTTAACTAATTACTAGATATTAATAGACTAGTAAGATTACTAATAAGACTTACTTTACTATTACTAAGTATTAACCTTAGCTACTTATTAGTAAAAAACACTACTATTAGATATCTAACTATAATACTTTAATTACTCTTATTTAGTAAATTAACCTTAATACTTATTAAATAGTAATAATATCCTTTAAAGCTACTTTAACTTTATTTTCTAGTAAATCTAAAAGAAAGGTAGTTATACCTTTTAAACTTATAAGTTTAGACCAGGAAATAAAGGGTACTAAGTCCTCTAGTAATAAGGATAATAATACTAAAATTGTTAAATAGATTCTCTCTTTCTAAGAGAACCTGTTTATATAATTATACTTAGGTTAAAGTTAAGGTAAACTAAAGATATATTTTCTGTGATTATCTTTTTAACTATAAGACTTAGCTTTTATATATAAGATATATAATCTTATATGTCTTTAAGTTAGTTTAGTATAAATATACTTTTAATCCTCTTAATAAATAACTAAAAGCTAAATATCTAGTCTATACCTTTTACTATAATATATATCCTTAAGTTATACGTGTTATATAACTAGCTAGTACTATTATTCTAATACTTATAACTTTTTCTTTTATAACTATATAACTCCTTATAGTATCTAATTAAGTTATACTAATTATAATATTAATAACTTTATTATATAACCCTATAGGTTAAACTATTTATGTTATATAATAAATCACTAATATTAAAACTCTAAGTAATTATCTATTCTCTTTTTACTTAGTTAAGTAAGTAAGTTATATGTTAGTAAAGTTCCTTTCTTCCTTATTAACTTTACCTTTACTTCTACTATTAATATATCTTCTTTTCTTTATATAATAACTTTAAGTATTTAAAACTCTTTTTATTTATTTTTATTTTTTTATTTTTTTTATTTTTATTTTTTATATATATTATTTTCTTATATAATTAATTAATAATAATTTTTTTTTTCTTTAATTAACTTTAATAATAACTACTTATATATAAAATTTCTTTTTATATATTTTTTTTATTAATTTATTAATAGTACTTTATATAATTAATTTATTATATTTTTTATTACTTTTAGTAGTTTAACTTTTAGTAATATTAGTATATATACTAATATGTTTAGTAGTTATTAGCTTTGTCTTTTAACTAGTAACGCTAATAATTATGCTTTTTTATTAGCTTTAGCTATTAATATATATTACTTTTATTCTTATCTTGTTTTTATATATTAACCTTGATTGTAGAATAAAAAGTATCTTATTATTAATATATTATTATATAATATTAAGATCTATGTTACTAGTAACACTTTTGTTTAATAGTTTATTACTAGTATTATCTATAACTAAAGCTATTTCCTTATAGTCTTAGTTTAGTCTTATAGTTATATAGCTATTACTTGTAGTAATAAATACGTAACTACTAACTCTCTACGCTTCTACTAGTATACCTATATTCTTACTTTTTAGGGTAGCGCCTATACTAAGTACGTCTAGTAGTCGCATAGCGCTTACTACACCTACTATAGTTAAGATATTAATTTATCTAACAACCTAGGCAATAATAATAATAATAATAATAGTAGCCTTAGTAACTATAAGGCTCTTAATGTTACTAATACTTATAAGCCTTATATACCTAGTAGTAAGCTTAATAAGAACATAAGTAAAGGTAATTAATTCTTTAGTACTTCTACTAACCTTATAGTTATTAATAAAAAGTAATAATATAACTTTTTTTTCTTAAAATCTTATATAATAATTAAATAGATTATATAATATAGTAATTTAAAAAAGTAGACTGCATTTAACTACATTAATTCACAAGACAATTAAAATCATTTTTAAGACCTTAAGAGGTCCTAGGAAGACCTCTGCTAGCCTACCATCATACCACATACCCCGCGCAAGCGTGGTAGCAGCTGCAATGGTAGTCGCAGAGGCAGTAGCCTCGCAGGATTACAGCCAACACAAGAATTTTCACACAACCCTATAAACCCAAACGCTATACTAGTCATAAGAAACACTAGACATATAACAACCTAAGGAATAAGATCTATTCACAAGACTTTAGGAGATCTATTACTAGATTATATACTTGTAAAAGCCTAATAATACCTTACCTAAAAAAAGTATAACATAGGTCCTATAAGACTTATAAAAGCCCTCTTAGCTTAACTTAAATCTAAAAAAATAAATAATACTATAATTATTAAATAACTTAACTAAATTAAAAGTAAACTTAATAATATAACTGTTACGACCCAGGAAAGCGTTGGTTAACGTAACCACCTGGAACGAACCCACGAGGGACCAGGGGACATTCGGGCTCATGTATGCATGATCACGGCGCTTACGGGCAAGGGTCGGAACGGAAGAACTATGGACAGATCACGTGATGATAAGAAAGTGATCAAGAGATAAGGTGATCACTGGGAGCGATCACCAAGTGAGCAGCTCACCCCGGACCCACTCTAGTTGATCACCATCAACAGCATCACGATAGGGAGACATCAGTATATAGACAGGACTTGAGCCTGGGGCTCAAAGACTCTCCATAGCTCTTCAGCAATCAACTTCGTGATTCACTCTCTCATAAGTGACTCTTAGATTATCCTTCTGTTGTGAAGCTATAAAGCTATCTACGCCTAGACGTGCCTGACTGATCACCAGACACCAACAGACCAGCAAGATTACCAACAAGACTTACCTTACTGTTACCGAGTATCGACCTCAGCTGCCTATTAGCAGAAAACACCACTGTCGGATATCTGACCGTAACACTTTGATTGCTCCTGTTTAGTAAGTTGACCTTGATACTCACCAAACAGTAACGATGTCCTCCAAAGCCACCCCGACTTCATCTAGCGGATCCAAGGGAAAGGCGGTCGCACCCCCTAAACCCATGAGCTTGGACCAGGAAATGAAGGGCGCCGAATCCTCTAGCGACGAGGACGACAATGCTGAAATGGCCAAGCAACTCAAGAAGGCCCACAAGGACATCGCGGACATGCAACAGATGTTCAACAACAACGCGGCACTCCTTGACCAACTTCGGGCTGAGGTCCAGCAAACCAACAATCTCAGGGAAGAAGTTCGCACTCTCCGAGCTGCTGCCAACATCATCTCGACCCCAGTGGATGGGCGGGAAAAACTCAAGCTCAACTCCCCCACCACCTACGACGGGACCCCTGGAACGCTTAAAGGATTCTTGATACAGGTCAGGACCTACCAGACGTTTCACTCTGGCAACTTCCGTACGGAAACGGAGAGAATCATCCATGCAGGCACCTTCTTCAGAGGACGAGTCCTCTCTTGGTTCGAACCCTACCTAGAAGACTACCTGGACAGTGAGACGCTGGAGCACTGCAACCTAGAGACCCAGCAAATCTTTGGGAGCTTCGCAGGATTCGAGTACGCCTTGAAATCCTTATTCCAGGACCCAGACGAGAAACGACAAGCCGAGCGAGACTTGGCAAATCTCAAACAAACCAAGTCAGCCACCAACTACGCTGCAGAGTTCCGAAGAATCTGCGCACGACTTGATTACACCGACGACACCAAGATCTTCATGTTCTACCAAGGACTTAAGGAAGAAGTAAAAGACGAGCTATCCAAGCTCGACCGACCCAACGACTTCCTACAATACGTGGAAATCGCAGTCAGAATCGATACCAGGCTGTACGAACGGCGAAAGGAAAAAGGAGAAGCACGCCGCCCTCAGCCGAATACCAGCAAAAAGTATGTGCCGCAGGGACCTAGGAACTCGCAACCCAACTCGTACTGGCAGAACAACCAACAACACAGTAAGCCGAGCACCTCCTATGGGCAACACAGCGGACCCATGGACGTTGGTGCTGCAACCAGGAAGCCTCACCAGAACCACCGGGATCCGAAGGACTTCAAATGCTACAACTGCGAGAAGCCCGGCCACATAGCTAGAGACTGCAAACAACCTAAGCGACTCCAGAACCGACCCGTACCTGAAGGCACTAGGAAAGCCAACGTAGCAAGAAGGGAAGTTCCCCACGAACAAAGGAACTGGACCACCTGCTTCGACGACAACTGTTTAGTTCATCAAGAACTGAAAGAGCAAGCCGGATGGTACCCACAACAGCCCAAACCCAGAACTGTGGCAATCTCCCGACGAACCCAGAAAGGAGGCCACCCAGAACAAACCACGGTTCAGCAACTGGAGCAACGAAACCAACAGCTAATCACCAAGCTCATCCGAGCCAAGGAAGCTGCACAAAGCAAGGAAGACAACCCCTGTATGCCCGACACCCTGAAAGTCATCGAGGAACGACTCCAACTACGCATACAAGCCCAAGGGAACTTCCAGAAACAATGGGCACTCGAGGAGGACTTCGAGAACGCTCTCAAGGAGGAAAGGAGCATCAAACCTGGGAAGCCCACTAAGATAGTAGCCGTGGGACGGAAGCAACCACGACGACCCAGATTTTCTCCTCCAAAACTCGGGTTCAGGGAACCCACACCCCAGGAGTCGATTGAAGTACTTGGCGAGAAAACAAGCTCTGAAGAAGAACATGAGGAATCGCTTGATGAGTTCGAACCCTCGAGCAAGCTCGAAAGAAAGGCTGCCAAGCAACTCATGGATCTCAGAAGATCAAGCCAAACCTCTACGCAATCGACATCCTACAAGGATATTGAGAAGAAAACCAGGACGATTACATTCACACCATTCTCAGAAGAAGAAGAATCCTCTGACGAATCGGACCCTGGACGAGAAGTCTTCCGTGAAAGGGAAGCACAGCTCTACGAGGCCAACCAAAGCCCAACTCATTACGACCCGGACGAACCAATAGCTGCGCAAGCGAATGTCGACTTCAGCGACGACCCGATGGTCAAAAGGGCTTGGCCCACCAAAAAGGACTACCCTGAGTACCGACCACAGTACGAAAAGAATGAGGACGATCAAGAAGTCTGGTTCTATGGAACAGACGATACCGGAATCGACGGGAAACCAGTAGTATCCGTCCTAGAGGAACCTATATTCGGAGACCACGAGTACCTCGACCAAAAACACGCACGCCACACCGAAGTATTCTGGGCCGATTGCATCTACGACGAATGCCAGTTCCACCTCCAGGACAAGGAACTTAACGACTTCTTCCCTCGACGAAGGAAGCAGCAGCCGATTCCCATGATCTACCTCCACCACCAACTCGGCACATGGATAGTCAAGGAATTCAAAGCGAGCTGGTTACACATGCAACCCAGTCCGGAACACCCGGTTCTGTGCTACAACGGACTGATCAAACACTGGTCCAAATGCATGCACGACGAATGTATGATGCATTACGTAGGCAAAGCCAAAACCTGGAGAACCCAGATTAGGGAACAAACCCCCCCCGAGATAAAACCGGTGGACATGAAGGGAAGCAAGCCCACCGACACTACTCAAAAAACTAGGGACGCCAACTGCACAGGGACAGCAGAAGGCGACACTGAGGAAGTCCCTATACCTCGCCACGACGACAGACGCCTCACACCTGGTTCTGAGCGTCTACATCGAAGGACAGCCCACTCAGGTCGTAATTGACAGTGGAGCACAAGCAAACCTGATGTCACCACGACTGGTGAATCAACGAGGAATCACATGGAGATTCAAGGAGGAACCATACACCCTGCAAAACGTGGAAGGAGAAACAGTTGAGTACGGTGGAGGCACCATTGACAGAGAAACCGCGCAACTCTCTATGGTTACCCATGACCGTCAAGAACATCTGATCTTCGACATAGCACAAATAGGAGACATGGATGTCATCCTTGGAATCCCATGGTTACGACAACACAACCCGAGCATAGATTGGAGAACAGGCCAACTCCAATGGAGAGATTCGACTGCGAGGCAGCGTTGCAAGCCGCAACCCCCGAGTGAATCAAAGCGACACAGATACGTCGCATACGTCAAAAGAATCGAGCCCACGAAGGACGAACAATTCGAACAATTCATCAACGATCAACGAGAGGAAGAACGCCTCTCTCCGATCCCAGAACAATACCGCAAGTACACCAAACTCTTTGCTGAAGAATTGGAAACCGGCTTGCCTGAACATAGCTCGTACGATCACGAGATCCCGCTCAAAGAAGGAGCACACCCGAAGTTTCACAAAATCTACGGACTGAATGAAACGGAACGCGAGGCACTTGACAAATACCTCGAAGAAAACCTACGCAAAGGTTACATCCGACCATCGACATCCCCTGCAGGATACCCAATATTGTTTGTACCAAAGAAAAATGGCAAACTACGACTCTGCGTGGATTACCGACAACTCAACGATATTACAATCAAGAACTGCTACCCGCTACCTCTTATCTCAGAATTACGAGACCAGCTGTACCACGCCAAATGGTTCACAGCCATCAACCTCAAAGGAGCCTACAACCTGATCAGGATGAAGGAAGGCGAGGAGTGGAAGACTTGCTTCCGCACCAGGAAAGGCAACTTCGAGTATCTAGTCATGCCTTTCGGACTCACCAATGCACCCGCCACCTTCCAGACAATGATCAACCACGTCCTGAGAGAATTTATAGATGTGTTCGTTGTCGTCTACCTAGACGATATACTCATCTACTCTCGTACCCCCGAGGAACACGAGAAGCACGTTCACACCGTACTCCAACGACTACAAGAAGCCAAACTACTAGTCGAACCCGAAAAGAGCGTATTCCACAGTCAACGAGTCGACTTCTTAGGATTCACCATCACACCAGGAAAGATCCGGATGGAAAATGGAAAAATCGCGGCCGTCAAGGACTGGCCCCGACCTCAAAATGTCAAGGACATCCAATCCTTTTTGGGATTCGTCAACTTTTACCGACGATTCCTCAAAGGATATTCCGCCAAAATCAACCCCCTCATCAAGCTCACCAGAAAGGACGTACCCTTCGAATGGACCGAAGAACAAGAAAAAGCCTTCGAAGAAGTCAAGCAACAAGTTTGTTCCGAACCAGTTCTGATAATCCCAGACCCAAGAAAACCCTTCGAACTGGAAACCGACGCTTCAGACTACGCCATCGGTGGACAACTCGGCCAACGCGACGATGAAGGAAAGCTACACCCTTGCGCTTTCTTCTCTCGAAAACTTAGCGGAGCCGAGCTCAATTACCAAATCCACGACAAGGAACTCATGGCAATTATCGAAGCTTTCCAAGAATGGAAACCTCAGTTATCCGGGACCAAACATGAAGTCAAGGTCTACACCGACCATAAGAACCTCACTCACTTCACCACCTCTAAAGTCCTCAACAAACGACAGATCAGATGGTCTGAATTCCTGTCAGAATTCAACTTCAGAATCATCTACGTCAAAGGATCTGAGAACGGAAGAGCTGATGCCCTAAGCCGAAGACCGGACCACGAAACCCCGGTACCAGAAGAAACCCAAGTCATCCTCAAGGAGGACAAGAACGGTGACCTTGTCCCAGCACAGAAACTCATTATGATCGGTACCCGTGTCAATACCAGCACGACTGGCAGGATGACACCTGAACAGATCATGGAGATTCATAGTGCTAGGGCCCACGGACACCAAGGAGTTACCAAAACATTTAAACGAATTCGACAACATTACGACGCACGAGTCACTCGAGCAGAAGTGGCTTCAGCAATCAAGGATTGCGACATGTGCAAGAAAAGCAAAAATAGTCCACACAAACCATACGGACAATTGCAACCACTACCAGCGCCACCAGAAGCGTGGCACTCAATCTCTTTGGACTTTATCGTCAAACTCCCCAAGTCAAAAGAACCACTCACGAAAACCTACTATGACAGCATATTGGTCATTGTCGACCGACTCACGAAATACGCATACTTCATCCCGTACTTAGAGTCAAGCACGGCAGAAGACCTAGCGTACGCGTTTTTGAAATACATCGTCAGCAACCACGGATTGCCCAAGGAAATCGTATCCGATAGAGACAAACTGTTCACATCCAAGTTTTGGAAATCCCTGATTTCGCAACTAGGAGCTGATCACAAGCTATCGACCGCTTTTCACCCACAAACCGATGGACAAACCGAACGAATCAACCAGATACTGGAACAGTATCTACGATGTTATGTCAACTACGACCAAGACAATTGGGTACCATTGCTTCCAATGGCCCAATTCGCCTATAACAGTGCTATAGGAGAAAGCACACTGAACTCCCCATTCTACCTGAATTACGGATTCGAGCCTACGGCATATGGAGAACCTCGACAGGGACCACGAGCACTAAAGGCTGTGGCAGATTACAACAAATTACGAGAAATCCAAGAGAATGCCACCAAAGATCTCGAATTTGTCAGGGCACGAATGAAGAAATACGCCAACACATCAAGGGTTGAGGGACCAACCTTTGAAGAGGAAGATAGCGCGTATCTTCTGCGACGCAACATCAAAACGAAAAGACCAAGTGACAAATTGGACTACAAAAAACTTGGACCTTTCAAAATCATTCAGAAAATCTCAGACGTCAACTTCAAACTCGACTTACCAGACACAATGAAGATACATCCAGTTTTTCATATCGCACTGCTTGAACCAGCACCGCGAGGATCAAACACCAACGACTGCATCATCGTGGAACCAAACGAACCGGAGTACGAAGTCGAACGAATCATTGACGAGCGAGAGGAAAACGGAGAAACACAATATCTTATTAAATGGAAAGGATACGGACACGAGGACAATTCATGGGAGCCAGTCAAGAACCTCCAACACTCCCAGCAACTCCTTCAGGACTATCGCGAGTCCCAGAACCCTCAGCCACGAAACCCTCAACAGGCAGCTCACCGAAGGACTGCCAGGACGGATCGCTAGGATCAAAAGACTCAAGGAAGGACAGGTCAATTGCACCAAAACCACCACTAGCCTGTACCTCGTGAACCGCCTCAACCACCGGATCGACGGGCGAATCCGCAGGCCACTCAGCAGCGGCCTCACGACCCCTCTTGAAAATCATCCGTTTCTCTTTACGTAAACGATCGAGCCGGGCAAGAGACGCATCCATCTCCGCCTGCGCAAGACGGAACAGTTCTGCTTGCTTTCGCAGTAACTCCGCCTTCTGACGAAGCAACTCTTCCTCCTGCTCTTCAGCCTTATCCAGACGATCGGCTTCATTCAGCAAACGATCCACTACGATCATTAGAAAGCCACACACCTCGGAACCACGAAAAACACTCACATTCGCAAATCGCATTATCATCCCCATCACAAGAGCGACCCCGGCGAGTACACTCTTGACACTTCTGGAAACCCGCAAGCATCTTGCAACGGATCCCCTTGGAACGACACCAACTACACGGCATTTCGATTTCAATTCCGTGTTCACGAATCCTCAAGGAATCCGCGAGACGGCGCTTGGTGGAAGAAGCCTTGCCAGATTTAAGAGTGTCTGACTCTGCCGCATTAGTCACCAACGACATGGTGGAAGAAAGATGAGAATGAGATAAACCCAGGGACAGCCCGCGGCGGGAACCCACTTACCTATATAGGTCTAAGGGCTAGACCTTTGGAGGGGAGACCTGATGTTACGACCCAGGAAAGCGTTGGTTAACGTAACCACCTGGAACGAACCCACGAGGGACCAGGGGACATTCGGGCTCATGTATGCATGATCACGGCGCTTACGGGCAAGGGTCGGAACGGAAGAACTATGGACAGATCACGTGATGATAAGAAAGTGATCAAGAGATAAGGTGATCACTGGGAGCGATCACCAAGTGAGCAGCTCACCCCGGACCCACTCTAGTTGATCACCATCAACAGCATCACGATAGGGAGACATCAGTATATAGACAGGACTTGAGCCTGGGGCTCAAAGACTCTCCATAGCTCTTCAGCAATCAACTTCGTGATTCACTCTCTCATAAGTGACTCTTAGATTATCCTTCTGTTGTGAAGCTATAAAGCTATCTACGCCTAGACGTGCCTGACTGATCACCAGACACCAACAGACCAGCAAGATTACCAACAAGACTTACCTTACTGTTACCGAGTATCGACCTCAGCTGCCTATTAGCAGAAAACACCACTGTCGGATATCTGACCGTAACAATAACCTTAAAACCCCTTATAAGATTATAAATAGCTATAGCTACTCTCCTACTAAACTATATAAATAAATAAATAAAAAATACTATATAAGATATTACTATCTAAACAAAAAATAAACCAGCTAAAATCATAAATAAAACTCCCTAAGAGACTATTTAAGCTACTAATAGAGCTCTTAAAATAAACTTAATACTAGGCACTAA